ACCTAGTGTTTCTGTGATTCTGTGAAAATATGGATACAGGACAAACTTAGATTCTAGATAATGAATTGTGCCTAAGTAGAGCTAAATGGCAAACCCAAAGATATTCAGAGTTTGTGAACTCACAAGTAGAAAGCCCTGGTGATCTTTGGAACAACAATTCCCACTAATGTGTTGAGAGACTGCAGCCATTTCTGGTCTATCCAGAAAGCCCTGCATGTTTGATCATCCTGTTCCCCTCCCTCTCAGACTCATCTTCATTTGCAAATCTGTCCTGGACTGTGGCCACATCAGGTATGATTTTTCCCCTCTTGCACTCAAAACAACATATTTTTGACCTCTATACTTGTTGATCATAAGTCAGCGTCTGGGCTATCTATAGTCCTTGTTTGCATTTATAAAAGCTCACCCTGAGGCTAACAAGCCATTAGCACTAAAACCCATGTAAAAAAAATGAAGACACAGGTCTTCTAAATAGTTGTTTCTTACCTGCCTACATTTCAAAGCATTTGTCTAACTTTTTATGTTCTGGCTGCCCACAAAAATACTTGCATTACATTTTTCAGCAGTCACAAAAATATTTTTAAGTAGTAGGTGGAAGTGAAGAACAATTTGGCAAAAAAGGACGAGAAGTATATCAGCAGGGACGTGAACTGTTGTCCTGAACATCAGGAACCTTAGCAAGCTTAAGATCACCTCTAATATAGGGGCAGCTAAATACTTGTATTTTCTGTTAATGTTGACTCTACAGAAGAAATATTCATCATGTCCCTCGACAAAAGATACAACGGATGAAAGAACAATATGAGCACAATGTTACCTTCCACAGTGTTCTTCACTCTGAAAAACCAAGCAGAGATGAGAGATGCTCCAGTGGACCAAATGCAGCTTACAGCATGGGTGCCCATTCCAATCCCCTTCCAGCCTTCTCAAACAGAAGATCTCACGTGGCACGTACAAACAACGTGCCATTTAACTGAAGAGGTGGACTCCTCAGTGTATTTTAATTATCAGGGTATAAAAATCTCTAGTTTTACATTCTTTTTCTAAACTTTTTATTCTTGTATTTTTCTACTACATTTCTAAATTACTTTTATTTCTGACAAGTCTTTAAATGTTACTGGATTATGATCTCACAGCTCTACATGACAGATCCAACAGCGCTATCCTCAGTACAAAGTGTACTCCCTCTCAGCCCTCTTCCTGCACAAAAATCCATTCAAGATTACAGTGAAATTTACTGGCTGTGCCACACACTTTTTGGGGTTTTTCCTGCATCATGCTCTGTCACCAATAGATAACAATAAATATTCCTAAACTCTTTCTTTCTTTCTTTCTTACAGGCCATGTGGCCAATTCCTTCTCCATGCAGTTGTCATTTCTTGCCATTTTAATACTTTATATCTGGCTGTATAACCTTTTCTATCTTCCCACTCCATCTTGCCTAGAGCATTACTGCCAGATTTAAGGGAGGCAAAGCAAATGGTGGAAAAAGTTGTTCCCCATCTCTGTCTCTGCTGTCTGGATTCATGCTGGTCTTACCTCAGCTCTACCAAAGCCAAACAGCTTCTCCAGCTTGGAGGTGAAATGCTCTAACACATCAAACCAAGCACTTTATCTTGCCAAGACATAGGAATTCAACTGATCCTGAGATGAGTCCATGTATGGAGGCTCCTAAAAGGAAACATTAGTGTTAGGCTAGTGCTTTTTAACTTCTAAGTAGGAACAGGGTGACAGCAGCAGTTCGGAAAAGCTGAAGCCCAAGGGTACCTAATACCCAAACTAACTCAGAAGTGCAAAATAATGACTTAAGAAAGGAGAGCAAAAAAAAAAAACAATGTTCTTGTACGGTCAGAAATCAACTCCTTCCACCACTAAGTGCTGAGAAGCCACTGACTGATGGGTAAGAAAAGCAGCTATCCTGCAGTAGTTTTATCCATATTGATAAATTCTGCTGATTATTGTCCTTATCAAGAAGCCTCATCAAACATTTTTAAAACTCAGCATTTGTGATAGCAATTTTTTTAAAGTAGGTGTGGATTATTAGGCAGTGCTTATAGAACAGAACAGTAGTGAGCTATTTTGCAGTAAGAAATGAAGACAGGTTTACAGAACTATCAGCAAGTTTGTGGCAGCCCTGTACAGTTCTCCAGTCCAGCTACAATGTCCAGCTTGGTCACAGGAGCCACCCCCTGTTCAGCACTTGAGCCAAGTAAATGGCACGGGACCCCTGAAAAGTTAATGAGTGGGAAGCTGGTGGTCTCAGTTCTGAAACATCCTCCCTCCTTGGACCCATGCCTGGTTGGAAGAAGCAGGGCAAAGGGGCAGCCTGACAACAAACACACTAAAATGTGGAGTTGGCAGCCAGTCTAGCAGGACTTTCTCTCTCCCGTGGAGAAATTCCAATTCTGAGAAGCTTCACCTGTTGAAATTAATGAGAACAAAGTAATGAATTCAAGTTCTAACTCACACCCAGCAGAAACATCTCATGATGAAATCAAAGAGAAATCTCATCCTTTGTGATGCTGTGACCTCAAGTGCTTCTTTAAGCAGGAGTAGCTCAGAAACACTGACCAAGGATCTATCATTAATACCTTTGTGTGGCATTTTGCTATGAATCAAATAATCATAGCTGTTCTCTAAAACTCTTTTAGGCTATATGGAAAGTTTGAGGGGAAAAAATACAAGAACTATGGCAGAATTACAGAGCAATATGTCAGAATTGAAGTGTTATGTTTGGCAACAATAACCTTAGAGGATTGTTTATTTTGCCCTGTGCTACTTGTGACAGCCAAATAACTATTCCAGTACTACAAAGGGTAACAAAACTGATGGCTTTAGACTGAAACAAAGATCCTGCTGTAATTTAAGAATACCTCAGAATCAAAGCAATGGTTTATAAAATGTCATCAAACCTTCAGCCACACTAATGCTATTGTATGACATGTTTGTGTGAGAAATGTATAATTAACTCCACATTATTTTGCAGATGAAATGTCATGAGTCTGTTTTTGTAATACAGCTTTATTAAATACAATCAGGATTTAATATACAAAGTGTAAAAATAATTTGAATTTGAAATATATACAATACTGTACATGTGCATTTAGTAGCATTTTCGGGGTTTTTGTCTTTGCAGTATTCTGTGGCCTGGTAACAAGTCGTCAGGTTCCTTTGTGTCTTTCTGGTCTTTCTGAAGAGCCTCAGCTACTTCAGAACGGCTTTTTGATGAGTTATTTGCTTCCCCAGTAGACTTGGAACTATTTTTGGGTGAAAGACCATCAGATAAATTAGTAGTTATTGTACTGCTCTTTTCATTTACATAACCAATCTTCTTTTCTTCTGGCAAATTATTCATGAGTGCTTGTGTATTAATCATTGCAAGTTCTTCATCAGCAACCAGGTCATTCTCAGGAAGATGGACAGTTTCTCTCAATTTTCTACAGGGGGTGACATGACTAATATTTTGATTTGTTTCTTTTGATGACTTGCTACGCTGTAAACCCAAACTTCGTGGAGGCTGAAATGCTTTTTTTAAAGATGGAGAAATGATTGAACAGATTGGTGTCAGTGGTGGAGGGGCAGGTATGGAACTGAGGAAATCCATCGCTTTTCTCTTTTTGCTGTTTTTGGGATGGTCTTCATTAATTGTAGCAGATGAAGGTGTTTTTGCTGACCCTTGTGCAAAAAGTTTCGCATTTGGTGTGCTAGTTGACAAAGGGCTTGGATGCTTTATTTCAATTTTAGAAGAGATCTAGTTAAAGAGAGAGAAGTTTTACGTTGAATAGAATGTCCTATTTCATTAGCTTCCTCAATTACTTCCACGAAACAGGGTGGGGAGAAAAACACCGATACAAAAATGCTATGTCATCATTCATGTCCAATTTAACTTTAGTTTGATGTCTTCTGATGGTGACTAATACTATTTTTTCAAGTATCGATGCTTCATAAATCATTGTTTACATGTACACTAAGACAGCACATGTACATTCTGTTTCTGAGATCTAAGCTAAATGTATGGGAATTTTTCTGTGCCAGATGGTAAGAAATCAAAGCACTCATAAAAAGAAAGAGTTAAGTCTTCTACTGCATTGGATATGTCCTCAACAGGTTGTGAAATAACAGCAAAAAAACATGAAGAAGAGAGGGATAGAATATAGGCCAAAACAACTTGAAGATAACAATATGCACAAGATAGACGTTAAGCAGCAATTCATTCAAACACATGCTTAACTTGATGCCTCATTTGTTTTAACTTGGCTAATACATTTAATAGACAGATATAAACTAAACCTTCAGAATTAAATATTAGCACTCTCTCTGAAATGGAAAAGAATGCTTTATAAGCTTAAACTTTGTCCCCAGGAATTGATCTCACATCAGGGTGTTTCCACCTCCCCTGCAACGAGTGGCAGGAAAAATTTTTGTTCTGACTGCACTCAGTACTCCACATCAGGAACAACTTGCCACCAGCAGCTTTCATGGGAAACTTCAGTACAATTTAACTCCATTTTTGCCAAGATTGCTATAAAATGTAAACATTTACTAGGTGATACCTCTTTTAAATCCTGGAAGTAGTGAACAATATCTAGGAAAAGAAGACCAGGAGGTAAATTCTCTAAGCAGGGATAGGAACTGCAGAATGCCATGAAAGAAAAATTTACAGATCAAGACTTTTCCTTCCAGTGACATCCACGTCAGATAATCTTCAGTGGGACCAAGGAAGCAATAAATAGTCTACAGGGAAAGGATGATTCATTTTACTCATATAAAATTCTGAATATTTAAAGTATGCTGTGAAAACACAGGCCACAAGGGGAGATTTTCATGTACTGCTTTGAGGAAGAATAGTCTCACAGTTCCTCCTGGGGAATAATCCTAAACCCACACACAGAGCAAGCTGCCTATCAACCTGCATTGCCCTGAAGAAAACCTATGGAGTGGACTGAGAAGTGAGAACAGTCACCACTGAGAACAGTCACCACAGCTACCAGTATAAAACACGCTTATATCCTTACTGTATGTACTGTCAGTATAAACACAACATTAATTACCAGAAGCTTACCAAACTTTTATCCTCTGCATAAAGACCTGAGTTGCAGGAAGGAGAGGGGCATTCCAAGCCACATCTTTTCATTAAACTGGGTGGAAGTGAGATTTTTTTTTGTAGCAAATTCATCAATTTACTTTCTGCATCAGAGCAAAAGGAGGCCACATTCTATAAAGGAGAACAGATTACAATGCGGAACAGTTGTTTTTCAAATCGTTTAAGTACTATATGCTCACAATGTATTTAGGACTCTGTTTTCTCATCATAATCCCACTAGAAGTTTATTTTATATCAAAACAACAACTTAGAAGACTGCTGCACTTTCCACAGAGGTAAGTATCATATCTTCCTTTTATTGTTAACAAGAAAAAAATCCTTTTGTATTTAAATGTATTTTTCAGTAAGAATGCATGACCAAGATGCTATTTAGCACAGCTAGAAAATGGAAATAATAAATAAATAAATAAAATCAACAATCTGATACTGAATATGTTCAGCTGAGCAAGACAGTAAATTTCAACTTTTAAAAGGCCAAAGAGCCAAACTATGCGTGACAGATTTCCTGTTGACAGGTACAATATTTTTCGCTAGCCAGAGAAGATTCTGTGGCACAGCCTAAAGACAGTGTTGGCTGAACTGAATTAAAAAACTAAAAAAAAAAAAAAAAAATTAAAAAAAAAAATCAAAAGACATTCAATAGGTGATATGGAGAGTCCTCCAGGAAAAGTACATTAACACCTTACTCCATCTCCCAGAAAATCCCCTCAAATTCAACATTATGTGCATTATTTGTTTTAAAGATTTATTAGTACTAATTGACTTTTTGGTGAAGAATGTAACAAAGCAGTAACTAAAATTAATCATTAAACTGAAAATCTACATATTTACCTCTATCGTACTTCTCAGTTCATTATACTTCTCTTGAAGATAGTTTGCCTTTGGACTGGCTGAGAATACGGAAAGATCTCCAGCCAACAGCATAGGAATTTCTGATCTGAATTCAGATTGCCACTGAAGGTTGCTTGCAGAAATGAATGAACAGCGGACAACTATATCTTCAATAGCAAAATGTCTAAGATCTGTCCAGATCTTCACTGCCACCAGATTATAGCTTTCATCAGAGAGGTACACCATAGTAGTGAAACCTAGAAGCAAGAAAAGGTCTGAATTACCCTTTAAGTAAAGGTTGATTACAGCAATTTTTATCTATAACAAAAGTCACACACATCCTGAAAGAGAATCGACAAATCTAACATGGCAGCCTATCTGCATGGTAACAGATGTTTGATGTTTCATTCATACGTCACCATCATTGGAAGTATTCAAAAAATGTATAGACGTGGCACTTCAGGATATGGTTTAGTGGGCTTGGTGGTGTTGGGTTGATGATTGGACTTGATGATCTTGAAGGTCTTTTCCAACCTTAATGATTCTGTGATATTCTACTCTATCTCCCTACTGATTATCAAAAACAACTCCAAGTCTATGTTCCACTGCTTAAAAAAAAAAAAATACTACTATGGGTTTTTTCCATGTCATTCAGCAGATTATTCAAAAACGACTCCACGTCTGTGTTCCACTGCTTAAAAAAAAAAATACTACTGTGGGTTTTTTCCATGTCATTCAGCAGATTATTGACCTGTTCCTACCCATGAACTCCAGAGCCTGGGTGCTACTCATTCCGTTACACTGGGGTAGCTCACATAGAATAGTTTGGGTTGGAAGGGACCTTTAAAAGGTCATCTAGTCCAACCCCCCTGCAATAAGCAGGGCCATCTTCAACTACAGCAGGTTGCTCAGAGCCCCGTCTAACCTGACCTTGAATGTTTCCAGTGATGGGGCATCTACCACTTTTCTGGGCAACCTGTGCCAGTTCTTCACCACCCTTATTGGGAAAAATTTCTTCCTTCTATCTAGTTTATCTATCTATCTATCTGCCCCCTTTTAGTATAAAATCATTACTCCTTGTCCTATCACAACAGGCCCTGCTAACAGATGGGGCCCTGTCCCCATCTTTCTTACAAGCCCCCTTGAAGTACCGGCAGGCTGGAATAAGGTCTCCCTGGAGCCTTCTCTTCTCCAGGCTGAACAACCCCAACTCTCTCAGCCTGTCCTCACAGGAGATGTGTTCCACCCCTCGGATCATTTTTGTGGCCCTCCTCTGGACCTGCTCCAACAGGTCCATGTTCTTTCCTGTGCTGAGGGCTCCAGAGCTGGACACAGGACTCCAGGTGGGGTCTCACCAGAGCAGAATCACCTCCCTCGACCTGCTGGCCACACTTCTTTTGACACAGCCCAGGATACAGCTGGCCGTATGCATGATGCTAATTCTGCAGATGCTGAATACAGATGTGAGAACTTACATCCACTATTTATGGAAACAATTAAAGAACAGCTTCTCTTGAGCTTAGATCCTCCCTTACAAAATTCTTCCTGAGTTAATAAGTGAAGACAGTTTTTCTTTAGGTAAGCAGATTATCTGCCAGCATATCACAGTGATGGGCTATATTAACATCTTTTCACAGGCCTGAGATGTAGGTGCAACAACAAGATCATTTTGACTTTTGAAATAAAAAAATGTAATGCTTATTCAATGAGGGCATGAACGTGATCCACAACATACCTGTTCTGCTAACAGAAACTACAACTCCAACTAAATCAACTTCAGCACATGGTGGCTGAAAAGAAGGATCCAACAAACTGGTGAATTTTAGAGCTTTTCTTGGAAAGAAAATCTGTACCAGCATCTCCTGTGATACCTGAAGAAACACAGAATTTTTAAGTTTTTACTTATATAGACTGTGATACGTTTTAATGGTACATCTTTATGCAGTTAAAGTGCTTACTGATAGTTGTAGATACTGAGTTTTCTTTGTTGCTGTTAATTGTATGTTAGTTGAGTCTGATCTTCCTTTGGACTGTGATGTTGACAGCTGGTAGATTCTGTACCGACTGCCTTCCTTTAACAGTGAACAAATATCTAGCAGTGGACGCCAGATACTCAGTATCACTCCTAATAATAGCAGATTAAGATATATTAGCTCTGCAATACTAATTTGAAGGCTTTTAAACAATATAAATCCACAACACTCCCCCCCACCCAAAAGCCCTAAACCGAAACCCAAATAAAACTGGAAATATTAACATGCATGCTAGAATACTGTTGGGAAACTCTTCAAATCTACCTGCTATGTTGGCCAGTTACCATGTTTAGATAGAAGTTATTTATAATTTTCCAAGTACTAACCTTTATGTTTTTCTTGCTTTCTGTAGTCTACCACACATAATTTCCATACAGTAGACACATCTCTTTTGGAACAACCATTTTCTTCCTGTTCTGATTCTAAAGCCTTCTTGAATTCTTCTTGTATCTGAGTTTTCTTTTTATCATTCATCAACTGCCTGTAAGCATTCAAGGCTTTTACTTGGTCTTCACTGAGATATCCCTGTAACCAAGAGAAAATGCATTCAGTATATTTTTTATTAATTGAAAAAATCCTGCCAAGATTTTTAGATAGCATCTTTCTTAAGTGTTCGTCTGTTACAAGCAATTTATTGTTCAACGGATATACTACTAGGACTTGAAGGTGTGTTAACACAATGGGAGTAAGCAGTCTTGACTGGTACTCTGCCAGTGCTCTGTTGTCAAAGCATTACATTACACACTGTTCTTATGTGATAATTAGAAGCCTGCTTAAGAATGCATCATTGTCGTGGTTTAGAGGAGTTGCACCTCTTAGCAGGCTGCTATCTCTCAGCTGACAGTGATTTACACTAAAATGCATCAGGAGTGTTACCTTTCTGACCAAGCCTTCAAGATCCAGACACCTTTACATGTAGCACCACATATATGTGTAACATTTTATCAAATACAGTCACAGATCTTATGGCTGTGTGACAGTCAAGGACTGTGACTTGAAAAATGCAAGGCATGCATTTTATTTTTAACAACTGGCAAGGACTAAACACTTAAAAATTGTGATTGAACTGGAAGAGGGACTGAAGAAAGCAATGACAATCTAATCACTCAAACACTTCAGTGAACAGCATGCAATAATAAGTGTGTGAAACTCAAGACTTACGAGGTGCATTTAGTTTTCATATATGCAAGACAAAACAAAGTAATTAAATTACAAGTAACATTAACTTTTAATGGTGCTATTTTCCTGGATCTTTATATCAAGAGAAAATAGCTTACTCTCTTTTGCAATCCAAGATATTTTTTATCTATTTTAACAAACCTTCAGGAAAATATTTTCAAAATTTTAAATCTCAATTTATTTAGCAATAAGCATGCTGTAGAAAATCTCAAAAGGTGGCAAAAAAATAGTAATTTAATGGTTGCTTTTAGCAGAAACTACTAAATCGTACATTATTTCACAAGCATTTCAAAAGCAGCCCAGTAGGTTCTACAGTTACCTCCATATATCCAGGATCAGATGCATTCTGAATCGCTTCATAAAGTTCTGCACCATCCTGCAAATTATGGATTTGCTGTCTTGTGACTATGCGTGATCTCGGTGTTCTTCTGCTAGTTCCCTCTGTTGAAATAAAAGCCATTATGTTGAGTACAGCAATACACTTTGAAAGTGAAGGAAAAAATAATTATATAAGAAGCATGGCAGTACTTAGGCCTTGCCAGAATAAAAACCACAAAATGTTTCTATATAGTATATAGGAACTGATATATGTGTATATATATAAGGAAAACACTGGTATGTGGAAGTTCATATCAGTGAAGTTAAGAATTATAAAGCAGTCTCTGATTTCAACTAAGAATTCAGTGGTGGTGTGTCTGTTTTGGGGTTTTGTTTGGGGGTTTTGTTGTTTTTAGCGTATGGCTTTATTTGACTTCTTGTTATTCATGAGGGACTTCAGGATCTGAGAAAGCAGTTAGAGAAATTCTCAGTGTTACAAATCACCACAGGAAAGATTCATGGAAAGGGAGAAGCTATCTGGGTTGTAGATATGACCCTGTGAAATTTGAACTGCACAGACTACCATTAGTGATGAAATCCTATCTGTTCCTGGGAGGAAAAAAAAAACAACTACAAATCCAAAAAACACAAAACCAAAACCAACAAAAACTCCTCCCAAAAAACCAGACCAGAGTATCAAGGCAGCTGGATTTCATAACCAATCTGGCAAGAATCCTAACACCCTTCCTCATTCCAGTTTAGGTGAACCTTATTCCAGTTGCAAACCTAAAGGGATGCAAACCTTTCTGGTACAGCAGTGAGCTTCATGAAGCTGTAGAAATCAGCAGCCAGCTGCAGCACTTACAGCAACAGCAGACCTGAAAATACTGCTAAAGTTCACTGGCAGAGGTGTGCAGTTCGTGGCAAACTCTCCTGCTCAAGTAGGGCCACCTACAGCAGGCTGCCCCAGAACATATCCACTGAGCTTTTGAGTACCTCCAAGGGTAGAGATTTCACAGCCTCTCTAGGCAACACTTTTGGTCACCCTCACAGTGAAAAAGGTCCGGAGGGAACCTCCTGTGTTTCAGTTTGTGCCCGTTGCCTCTAGTCTTGTCACTGGGCACCACTGAGAAAAGCCTGGCTCCATCTTCTTTGCACCCCTCCCTTCATGCATTTATGTATATTGATCAGATCTCCCTGAGCCTTCTCTTCTCCACGTTGAACCGTCCCAGCTCTCTCAGCATCCTATGTCAGATGCTCCAGTCCCTTGACCATCTTCATGGCTCTTTGTTGGACTCTCTCCAGTATTGTCCATGTCTCTCTTGTAAAGGGGAGCCCAGAACTGGACACAGTACTCCACATGTGGCCTTACCAATGCTAAATAGAGAGGAAGGATCACCTCCCTAAACCTGCTGGCAACACTCCTCAACTTGTTGTCCACCTGGAGCTTCAGGTCTCTTTCTGCCAAGCTGCTTTCCAGCGGGGCTGCCCCCAGCATATACTGGTGCATGGGGCTGTTCGTCCCCATGTGCAAGATTTGCACTTCCCTTTGTTGAACTTCACGACGTTCTTGTCAGCCCATTTATCCAGTGTGTCAAGGTCCGTCTGGATAGCAGCACAACACTCTAGTGCTATCAGTCACTCCTAATTTTGTATCATTGGCAAACCTGCTAAGAGTACACTCTGCCCCATCATCCAGATCATTAATGAAGATGTTAAAACACGACTGGACCCAGTGTTGATCCCTGGTATACACCACAAGTTACTGGCCTCCAACTACACTCTGTGCCAGTGATCACCACCCTCTGGGCCCAACTGTTCAGCCAGTTTTCAATCCACCTGTCTGTTCATCCAGCCCATGCTCCATTCAGCTTCTCTATGAGGATCTTAAGCAAGACAGTGTCAAAAGCCTTACTGATGTCAAGGTAGACAATACTCACTGCTCTCCCCTCATCTACCCAAGCCAGCAATTTCATCATAGAAGATTGTCAGATTAGTCAAACATAACTTGCCCTTGCTGAATCCCTACTGACTACTCCAAATCACCTTCTTGTCCTTCATGTGCCTCAAAATAGTTTCCAGGATTAATTGTTCCATCACCTTTTCAGGGATCAAGGTAAGGCTGATTGGTCTGTAGCTAGTTCTCTGAGACCTCCTTCCTGTCCTTTTTGAAGACAGAAGAGACATTTGCTTTCCTCCAGTCTTCAGAAACTTTTACCAATCGCCATGATCATTCAAAGGGGATCAAGAGTGGCCTCACAAAGACATCATCCAGCTTCTTCAGCACTTGTGGGTGCATCCCATCACCAGACATATATCCAGTTTGCATAAGTATTCTCTAACTTGATCCTCCTTCCACCAAGGGTATGTCTTCCTTGCTCCAGACTTTGCCATGGTCTCCAGGGCCTGGGATTACTGAAAGCTATAATAGTTAATAGTGTTGCAGTTAAGGCTGAGGTGAAAAGGGTACTCGGTAACTCAGCCCTCTCCAAGTCCTGTGTCACCGGGGTCCCTGTCCCACTTAGCAGCTCCACTGACCTCAGTATCTCCACAGTCACACAATGGTTGTGAGGAAACATGCCCAGTCTTGGTGCTCAAGTCTGTTGAGAGACATCCTAATGAGTGCCCACTTCTGGGTGAAATATTACAGTGTCAGGTCTTTGAAGAGAATGAAATTACCAATTCTACAATTTTGTAGCACTTCCTCAAGCATTATCTCAATGGTAATTTTTTAGTAGCCTGGCTAACAACATGTTCAGGAAGAGTTTCCTAAATAGCTGCAATGCCAAGCAAATACATATGCATCTGTTTTGTTCTGAAAGGTCTTGATACATAGGAAGTAAAAAACCTAAAACAATACCACACAAAAACAACAAAGAAAACAACCCAACACCCCATCTCTGCCTCTCTATGACCAGAGAAGTTTTTGTCAGTTTCTTTAAACTCTTCTGTAAATGCCAAAAAAGTTTTTGTGTTCTTATTACATGTTCTGAAACAATGAAAGCCTTACCTTCATGCTTTTCATATTCTGCTTGGATTTTTGCAAACAGAGCTTCCAATTTCTTTTGTTGATCCTCTGCATGCTTGGCAGCTTCCCTTTCTTCAGCTCGGCTGTTACGAAACACGTATGAACCAGCTGAAGTTTTTTCCACCCACTGAAATAAAACAATTCAAACAAAAACCAGACTTTTTTTATTTTTAAGCTTCCTTCTAATACTCCCTGCTAAGCAAAAATGCTTTAAAAAATGATCAGGCAGTAGATCGTAAGTTCTTTCAGTATAATAGATAAAAAGCAAAAACCTACAGCATTGGTTGGTAAATCTTCGCTTTAAAGACAGAATGCAGCAGTAGTCAAAACTGCATGATTTAACAGCTGAAGAAACCACAGCTTATAGTAATAGGTATCAGTGACATAATTTAGACAATATTGTATCTACCAGTGGGATGCAGCTAAGATAGAAACCATCAAACTCAAGGCTTAAAAAATATACCACAACTGTATTCTACCCAATTTGTCTTTCCACATCAACTGTATTGTCCGTTTTAACATGCTAGATTAGATGCTGTAAAAAAAACTGTGGTGATGTTCTGCACACACTCTTAAAACTTTTTCTGCCTGAAATGGTCCCACAGACCTACAGCCTTGTCCACAACGCTGCCAGAACTGGCTTGCCTGATGCCTTAAGTGCCCGGTTTGAAGAGACAGGCGAGACAAAGAGGTCACTGCTGCTGAAAGTGGTCCCTTCCCTTCCTCTTTGCTGCACAATCCCATCTTCTCCCTTGCACTGGCTCTGGCACATATACAACCCTGTCAGACTACATCAGTTTGATAATTCAATAGATGGCTGTTTGTTGGGGGTTTTGTTTGGGGTTTTTTTATTATTAGTTAGTTACTCCTGGTTTAGTGAATTAAATTAGCTAAGCAACAGGACCAGATGAGCTCCAGGCTTAGCATGGAGAAGCAGCAATAGAGCATAGAGCGAGCAGGATGAGGAAGGATTGAAGGAGTGATCCTTATGAGGCAGTGAATTGTTGAAATAGGCTCTGCCTGCCTCATTAACTGCATGACATCTATTTCCTGCACTATTCACAGTTTGACACCTTTAATTAGGGTTACTGTGATTCCTACACTCCTTGACTCTTGAGATAAAAAGGAGACAGACAGCCCAAGTCTTCCTATCATTTTGGTAGGTTTGAGCAAGAGTATCAGTGTTTTAAGAAAAAAAAAAAATTCCACATCAGTCTCTTGATAAAGTGAGATACAAAGCACCATTTTCCTCCCCAGCCTGGAAGCCGTCTACTGTGATGTGGTTACAGATTACAGTCCCCTTTCTGGGACCTAAACAAATGTTAGTTCTATCAGGCAGTTCACACAGTAAGTGATGCAATTTCCTCCATTAAAGTAATGATCTAAATATCAAAGTAATGATCCAAACCAAATATTGCTATTACCCTTGCAGAATTCATTCTACATCCACCAACAGTTATACAACACTTTAAGAAGAAAGCAATGAAAAAAATCCCTTATCTGTACATGCCAAGTGTAACATGCTCTGAGAAAAGTTAACAAAATCTGAAAGTTGTATCCTGGTTAAATTGTTAACATTGAGAGGATTGATTACAAACAAAAATATTATTTCTTTTTGTAGTTGGTATTGTTATAAAAGCAAGTAGTTACAGTTAAGTCCGACCATATTTGAAATGTCTGGATATCAAGTGGTACTTAAAACATCTTCATTCTATTTCACACCATAATCACATTGGGTTTTCAGTAATATTTTTAAATAATAGATCTTAGACAATATAGCCAGCTACATGTAAGAAAAAGTAATCTTACTAATGGTTATAAAATATTTAATTTCTTTGCAGGGATATGTATGCTAATAATAGAAAAAACTGAGTTTCAATTCTGCTTGGAGCTGAAACTGTCAATGTTTTTTTCTCCTTTAAAACAAGCACTGTCTTTTTTAGATTACAGAACTGAAATTTAATTATTTCTGGCTTTCTGAAGCTAAAAGCAAAGTCAATCAGAAGACACTGAGCACAAACCGAAATTCTTGGTATAGCAGGATACTCCAGTCCTGAAATATTAAATACATGCACACTGCAAGAACCAATCCTGTTCATTTTACACATAATGGTACCTTTTCTTAATTTTTTTAGCTGTCTATACTATATCTGATTTGACGAATGATACAGCAATTAAATAATATAATTTAGACCTCATAAAAGCTGTTAGAGACATAAAATACTTATACCGTACCTGAATAGGGTAAGCTCTTTGAATAACTATATCAATACACCCCACTGCACCACCCTCACTGTAAAGCGATGACAAAGGCAAAGGAAAAGGTCTGGGATCCCGATGAAATCCTAGTTTTGCATGCCATCGTGCACATCGAGTGCTGTTCGCCGAAATCTGAATAAATCAAGTGTTGAATGACAAACTGTCACTGGTAGGTCAAAAGGATATCCAACTTATTATATCTAGAGGAAAGACTATTCTCACGCTGACCTCACTAAGAATATCTCATTTTTGCACCCGAACATACTACATTTTAATTTCATGGTTTCTTTTCACATTGAAGAATGTATTTTAGACAGGAACTAAAAATTTGATGAGTTAAAATTCTCTAGGAAATGAGCAGTTATGAGACAAGCCATTGCTTTATACCAGAGGAGCAAAATTTTTATGCTGAAACTTCACCCAGCACTTCAATCATCCTCAAACAAGTCAAAACCCACTGTCTCACAACCTGTTTCCCCTCCCCACCTTCTTCCTCCAACTTCCATATTGTCTGTGACGGATAAATACTTCTTCTAACTTGGTGCTTAACCAAATTAAGGAGCTGGAATTGACAAAGCACGCAGCAAAACCTGGCAGAATTTTGTATTATAAACTTCACTTCCAACCCTATTAAATAGCATCAGCTACTTTGCGTCATATCTTACAAATCTGGTTATTAAACTTTGACAAAACTTTTTCTGTTTACAAAATGTGGCTCAAGTAAATAGCATCTATCACATCTCTCAGGCACAATCAATCAAGCTGAACTGATATTTTGTTTTACCTTTAACATAAGGGAATCTGGAGCTTCCAGTGGCGTACATCCATTTTGAGAGCCAACAAGTTCTGCTCCATGCACTATGATCTTCTGACCAACAGTCAGCCTTCTTCTATGTAAGAAAGCTTTGAGAGGTGGATCCAGAAGAGCTCTAATCCCATACCAGCCATCAGTAACTTCAATTATTGCAGCTGCATTTTTACTTTCCATGTTCTTAGTGCTACTGCTAGGAGATACAACGGTGTTTAGCGATATGATTTTAGAAATACATAGTACAAGTGTTTTACCTGCCGCATCATCTCTCTCTGTTATTTTTTTGATGGCTGATCGTTTACTTTTATCAACTTCCAAATCATACCTGCAAAAGAATTCATGATGCTTTGTTAAAACAAACAAACTCCATCACATTGTTTTTCCTTAAAAACAACTGTAGCAAACTATTGTTTAATCAAGCTACATGATTAAGTTACCACTGTAGCAAAGTAAATGTTACCTACATTTCTGCAAATAAAATGCACTACATTTTTAATACTGATATGCATAAGTTTAACAATATAGGTATTCTGATAAACAATAAAGGTAGAGGTGCTTATTTTATAATATTATTAACTAGAAAGCACAGAATCACTAAGGTTGGAAAAGACC